TATCCAGTCTGGTGATGCAGAGCCAGGCCTATTAACTTCACTTCACTTCAGCTACAATACACTTGCACAGGAGTACACTCCAACTTGCCGATTGGACAGTCAAGGAACAGATTCCTCTGCTTTTCCTCCAATACATAGCTGAAATACATACATAGGTCATGTTTATTCTGCCAAAGGACTGCTAGTTCTGTTCATCCAGTTTTGTGGTACAGGTATCAGATGCAGATCTAGGATCTTTATTACAGCTACAATACAACTTGGATAGGTCCACAGCAGAGCCTAATTGGCTTCTAATACTGCCCTTCATTTCCCTAGCCTGACTGCTGTTATTTGAGGACTTGTTCCCACCAAATGCAGACCAGATCTGCACGAGTTTCTGCACACGCAGTGCAGTGTGTTTTGCCGTGTTTTTGACATGTTCAGGTCCGTTTTTGTGTGTGCCTAAAATGGGCTTTCAGTGCGTTCCAGGGCGTTTGCATGCCAGGGATCCCAACCTGAAAGAAGCAATTTCAGGGAGGTGCCCTCTGCCCATTTGTGGGGGCCCCCCTGAATGATGGCAGATAGCACAGAAAGCCAGCTGCTGCCGTCAGAATAAAAAAAAAAAAAAGAAACCAGCATAGGAATGCGTAGTTAGATTCGTATTGGCTATTTCAATTTGCAATAACCAATAGCAAGCTGGCTATTGCACCCACCCTCTGCTGCTGTCAATTACTAGAAGAGGACCTGATGGAGAACTTCAGGTCCTCCTCTGCTGATTGGCAGCAGCAGTGGGCGGGTGCAATAGCTAGTTTGCTATTGGTTATTGCAAAGTGAAATAGCCAATTGGAATCTAGCTATGCATTCCTAAGCTGGTTTTTTTTTTTCTGACTGACGGCGGCCGGCAGCTCCGATGTCAGAAGAAAAAAAAAAAGACAGCAGGGAAAGGTTTACGCTGCTGGATCGAGCAGAGTAAAACCTTTCCGGGAGAAAATGTTTCTCTCCTAGTCGGCCTGGAGCGTCCGGGAGAGTTGGGATGTCTTGCATGCGTTTTTTATGCGTTTGCGAGCTTTCCAGAGCAGTGAAAATAGGGCTTGCTGCAGTTTTTTTTACATGCTCTGGAACTGAAAGCTGCGGTGTGAACTAGAGCCCAAAATACCATTAGAATACATTGGACGCAGTTTTTTCATCCGGTTTGCAACTGCTCTGCTCCTGGATCGTGCTTGGTGTGAACTAGCCCTGAGGGCTTGTTCACACCAAATGCAGACCAGATCTGCATAAGATTCTGCACACGCAGTGTAGTGCGTTGTGCTGCGTTTTTGATGCGTTCCGGACCGTTTTTGTTAAAAATAAATATTTATTTATTTTTTAAAATGGGCTTTCAGTGCGTTCCAGGGTGTTTGCATGTGTTTTTGATGCATTTGCAGGTAAAAGAGGGCTTGCAGCAGTCTTTTTTTACATGCTCTGGAACTGAACGCTGCGGTGTGAACCAGAGCCCAAAATACCATTGGAATACATTGGACGCAGTTTTGATCTGGTCTGTAACAGCTCTGCTCTGCTCCTGGAACGCACTTGGTGTGAACAAGGCCTAAAGGGTTAAGGGAGGCTGATATCAAACATATGCTAGCTACATGTCCCATTAAATGTATGCCCCCCTCCCAACTCCTGGCCAGAAAAACATATGAATACACAGACATACAGATAAGACTGGTCCATGGAGCCTCTTTTCACCTCCGCTGCAGCGGTCTGAGGTCCTGCAAATCATCACGTTTGATACACACCCTGTTTAGGATGTAAGGACACTGAGGGATATTCCATTGCTGCAGTGTAGTAGGAGACAGACTTCAGGGAGCAATGTCACAGCCAGCTGGCTCTGAGGATTGGGTGAGTATAACTTTATTTTCCTCCCTAGACCCAAACGAGCAGTTAACCCTTGCAGTGGGGCTCCCCCAATAATAATAATGAAAAACCTCGAGTTCTTCCTGAATGGAATAAGCCCCATAGTGTACACACATGTCAAATGACAATTCTGCATAAGAAGTTCCGAAGCTCCTTATTGACAATTATAATCATTCATTATAATAAAGGCTTCGGGGGCCGGTCGCATAGCATGGAGGGAGCGTGCTGGAGTCGGGGATTAGTACTGACAGAAAATAGCTCTGTGAAGTTTTCTCATAAGACTTCTTTGTTGGCCCTTTCATAAAAAGCCCCGATGAAGGGAGCTCCCTCTGACCCCCCAAGATGTTATAAAGTCTTTTACTTTGGAATAAATCTGTATCTGGACACATGGTTTTCAGTGTGACACGTCAGTATCAGATTATGGGGCAGCTGTTTATCCAGAACAGTCAGCAAATCAGGCATCATTTTCCATATGATTGCTTTCCGTATGCCAGGACAGGTTATGGCCCAGGCTATCCAAGTTGTCACAAATCAGTGGTCTGATTATTTCTTGGATTTGGGCACTCGGGTTCAAAAAGGTTCGCCATCACTGCCCTATGTGATACATCACTGCAAAAACCCACGACGGCCACAAGATGGCGCTCCGTTCCATAACAGTGAGACCCCCCAGTGCCCACCAATGATGCAGCTGCATCATCGGCTGGGTAAGTGGCTGCGTGTATGTGTGGGGCAGTTGCGGGGGAAGCGGAGTGCATGGTGCTGGAAGTTGCAGTGATGGTTGGTGGAAGGTGTATGCTGTGTAGGAATGTGCAGCAGCACCAGGCGTGGAATATAAACGTGTGATAAGGATGTACAGTCATGTGCTGGCTGCTTGTATGTGCGATCTGGATTTATCTGTACATCTGTGATCAATGCTTATCACATTGGGCATTTCTATAATGGTGGGACAGGCACTATCTATCTATCTATCTATCTATCTATCTATCTATCTATCTATCTATCTATCTATCTATCTATCTATCTATCTATCTATCTATCTATCATCAATGTCTACTGCTTTTCTTGCTAACAGGTCTTTTTCCGCTGAAGTAGAAGGCCATGCCAGCGATATGGGCAGCTTAGTGGTTGGCACTGCTAACTTGCAGCATTGGGGTCCCCCGGTTCGAATCCCGGCCTGGACACTATGTGCATGGAGTTTGCACGGTCTCTCTGTCATTGTGTGGGTTTCCTCCGGGTGCTCTGGTTTCCTCCCACACTCCAAAGAATTGCTGGTCGGTGTCTGATACGTTTCTAAAAATGGCACTATACCAAAAAGCAAAGTACTGATAACACAGGAGATCCACCCACAGAGGGATGGTACCACTATAGCCCAATAAAAAAAAAGGTACTATAGCCCAATACAAAGGGAGGGAGCCGCCTATACAGGGAGGTACCAGAGCTGGTCCAGGTAGGAAGGTAGGGGAGAGTACAGATGTGAGGAATTTTTAGGCGCAATCCTGACCCCTGCACTGTGTACGTAGCGTACTTTTGATGGTGGGAGGGCTCTTGACATCTGCTGTATTGGGAGTGGGGTGCTCTGGATGTCTGCTTATAATTATTATGAGAATAATTTAATTCCATGCCAGTTGAAAAGGAGGGTTGCAGACTGCTGGTATCGTCCACAGGAGAACTTTATTGAGAACACCATGATTACTATTACTATGATAATAGAGAGTAGATGCATAGTCCTATTGAGGGTAACCATACTGCTGATGCGGCCCCCGATGAATTTGAGTTTGCCACCCCTGCTCTAGAAGATGCATACTTGCAGCTCCGATGTAGAATTGTCCATGCGAGATGAAAAACAAAGTACAGCTAGATGGGCAGCATCCACTGACTTCTTGTGCATGTCATTTCCAAGTGCTTTGATTACAACTCCATTTTGTCTCTTGTCTTGTGATTCTGACTTGTGATTTTCTGAATTATGGCATGACAATTTTGCTATCCTCATTTCTCTTATTTATCACCAACAAACTTCATAGGCTATGTAGTCCCTTTCACATCAGTCACTGCCCCCAAAGGTGCTTACAGACCCTACTGCTCTCTCACTGCCAGACACCTACATATCAGGGTCAGCTTAACTGATCATGTTTAAAGAGGACCTGATATGTGGAAACTGTGCCAACAATGGCAAATGACTAGTAATCAGTATTGCATATAGGCTCCCTGCAGCTGATCTTTTCCTAATTACCAATTTACCATGCCTTTAGCACCTTGTCTGTCTATAGAGGCGGCCATATTGGTAGAGGCAGTGCCTCAGATCTCTCACTGCAGATATACAACTATCAGGCTATAGGGTGTAACTTTTTTTTTTTTTTTTAGGAAGTAAAAGGTCAATTTTCAGGGGTACATCTTAGGCACAATTAACATTTCTAGATGTTCCCTACAAGTTAATAAATCTTTACTTTCAGGATGTTAAACACAGATTTGAATGGGAGTGCGGAATGTCTTAACAAGATGCTAGCAGGTCCTCCGAGCCCCCAACCAAGATATAAAACTAGAGGACTGACTTACTGCGTAACATATTATTTTTGCGCCTATTTTTTTCTTCCTTTATAAATAAATAAAATACCTTTTGTTTTTATTAGCACTTGTGTTGTTGTTGTTGTTGTTATCATCAGACCTGTAGCAGTTTAGTTTAATTCAGGAAGGGACAACATTCAGACTAATATCATTCGGATATAAGGAAAGCCTTTGAGCAGTTTTTTCGATTGATTGCTTTGCGATTGATCAGTTTGCAGTACACACCGCTGCCCATGTGTACGACAGGAGATGCAGGGTGGTGTGGCAGAACTCTGACTTGTATATCGAGCATCCTGATTTGGAGGCCCCACTCCTAGGGTGATCAGGAGGATTCAAGTTGTGTGCAGGCCTCTTGGTGCCAGCTTTGAGTTCCTTTAGCTATCTTTTAGATTTTAAAGTCACAGCTTTAATGCAGCAGCTGGAGAAATCCTGTCTGATGAATTTCTCTATTACATTCATCGAGTGTGAGAAGCTTGATCGAAGCACACAAATTAAATCTGAATGAATTGCCACAGTGACCTTGTATACAATATAACAGTTTTTTGTTTTTTTTTCTTTCCTAGGCTTTTGGTAGACAGCTGGTATCTGCAAAGCGCAGTTGGTCTATTATCACATGGAGAGCAGCAAGCACAACATTTAAGGTGAGCACCTCCTGTCTACAGATATCATCTCAAGTACTGGCGATACTTTTCAGGAAACATTGTCACCTAAAGAGTGAATTATAATCAGACATTTGCACAATGTTCCCTAATACATGTTACAATCTGACCATAAGAACTATGTACAATCAACTTTAGATTTACCAAAACTCTGTAATATGAAGACCTATCTAAACTACCCAGTCAATCTGTATCTGATCGATCAGTCCCCTGCATTACATACTTGTTGATTGGACTAAAGAATATTGTACAGTCAGATTATAATGTGTGTGGTGAGCCTAAGGCAGTTTAAACTGTTTTTATAGATCACTGGTTTTCAGGTTCAGGGCTGTGAGATATCAGGTTAGGCATCTTGTCTTTTCACATTGCTACTTCAGGAATCTCATAAGCTAATTACAGCTACTCCTCACTTAACAACCTACCTGTTTAATGACCACTCAGACTAAAGGTGCCCACAAACCTTGCGATTATCGGACGATAATCGCATGCGATCGACTTTTCGGCCGGTAATCGCAAGGTGTGTGGGCAGTGTGCAACCGCAAATACTGTACAACTGTACGACTTTCAAGCATGTTCGAAAACTTTGGCCTCTCGTACGATTATTGCAAGATTAGTGGCGTTTCCATACATCAAAAATCGTACGATCTACTCTGCTCATGCGCAAAGATTACCGCAATTCGTCCAGGTGCTTTTCTTTAATTACAGCTAATTGAACCTTGCGATAATCGGGGCATAATGGGGCCGCCGTACGACAATCGTACGACGGTTCGATCATCGGACGAAAAGTGTCGTCCGATAATCGTAAGGTGTGTGGCCACCTTTACAACCAGCTCTCTGACCAGGTGGTATTGTACACTGTACGAGAATTTGGGTCGAGCTCATCTCACGTCACCCTTTCTCAGTCTGTCTCGTTCCCGCAATTGGTCAGTCAGTCAGTATTCACTACTGTACTGTACATTGGTATTTGCGATATGCAAACCTAAGTCATGTACCATATAGTAGAGCTGATTTCCTCTATTCCTCACTTAGTGACCAATTCGCTTAATAATCCAGTTGTAGGAATGGAACTTGGACGTTAAGTGAGGAGTGTCTGTATTGCTATTCAAGGGTTAAAGCCCTAGTGGACTTTTCAAGGTTTTCATAGTTTGTTTTCTTTAGTAAGCAGCCACGACATGAATAGAAAAGCCTGCCCCCTTCCAGCATTCTGTAAAGAAGGATCCTTGCTTTCTGAATGGAAGCAGTGGTCTCACTGTAGAGGTTCAACAAACTCCATGCAGAGATAAAGATGGACAGTCAGAGACAGAGCTCTCCCATCAGCAGGAAGCATTAGCCCAACTGAACTGAAAATGTAATTGGGCTTTAGGAAAGTGTTCAGAACTACGGAAGGTTTATGGTTAGGTTTAGTTTTAGAATCAAGGTTTTAGTGGATTATCTAATAAGTTAGATCATTTTGGGGCAAAGTGTAATCTGAAGTGTTACGTTAAGACACTTCAGCGTAAGGTCTGGTTCACACTAAGCGTATTGTCGCAGCTGAATAATCGCGAAAAAATGCTTCCCAAATAACATCCAATCCATCCTTATGGCCCCTGTTCACACCTGAGCGTTTTGTCGCTGGAAAAAGTACATGAGCTTCTTTTTGGCAGATTACAGCTCGTTTTCCCCCATTGAGTCTTGGATTGGAAACACGCATTTTGCACATTTACATCAATGTGTCACAATCTGCTCATCAAAAAGCGTGACTTCATTTATGCGCGCAAAAACGTGCACCAAATAATGCATGTTTCTACGCACGAAAACGCTGTTGCCTGGGTATGAATCAGGCCTAAGCGTTGGGTGTTATTAGAAGTGTTAGGTTAAAATGTACCGCATGTCAGGGCAAACCCAAAGATATTCCTTACATTTGTGCAATATGTGTACATTTCTCTGTTTTGTCTCCTTAATTATGCTGCAATTACAGCAAAATACCTGATGACCTGCCAGAAATCCAATGTGTTCCTAAAATCCAATTTGAGCTGTCAACATAGTACCCTGCTACACTAAAATCCCAACCAATGTTATCACCCCTGCCCTGTTTACCATTGGACTACAGAACACCGGGTATACCTAAAGGATATTTAATCCCAAAAACAAAAATGTACTACAGTTTTCCAGTCCTTAGGCACGGTCGTTGCATTAGCATCTTTTCAAACGCGTTTTTAATTTTCTGGTGATCCTGCCAGTGACACACTTCCTGTCCTAGGTTGACAACGCTGCTCCTTGATCAGTATTGTTATCCTAAGCTGTTCCATTGACTTGGACTATAAACACCTCCCTCTCTCCTCATCTTTATCACATAGGGACGAGGGCTTGTGTATGTTACAGAAAATAGCGTAGAAAGATGATATCAGATCAGTCGACAGCAATTACAAGGACCACAAGACTTCTGGCAGGATCGGCAGGTATGTTACTGTAGTTGCAGTAAATGTACTGCAGTCATGTAGCCACCACATCTGGGGACGTGTAAGCTGCAATATGTTACATTTTTGTTATTGGGTTTCAATATCCTTTCAGAGGTTCTGAGGTTAGCTCAAGGATGGAGTATAAGTTAGTGGGAAGGAATGTTTTTGTCAAACTCTGTATTATTGTGATAAAAGCTACCAGTGATGGGATCCACAAACAATGATAAAACATTCAAAAAGCTTCTGGGTGAGACTTCTGCCTGTCATCCTAGTCCTGCCTGCAATGCTTCTCAACATGGACATCTTCCCCGATGCACAACTATGCGTCCTGTTCTCTTCCCATTTCTGTTCCCTGAGAACTTTTTTCTGTACTCATATTAGTATATTTATTAAATGATGATCATAGTTTTGGGCATATTTGCTACTTGGATCTAGAACTGAAATGATCTTTTTATTTCCCCAATCAGCCTTGCATGTTTTTGGTTATATTCTTTTTTGGTTTTTGGATTTATCTAGGCCGGGGGTAGCCAAACTCGGGCCCTCCAGCTGTGGTGAAACTACAAATCCCATGATCTCCGGGAGTCATGTCTGTGAGAATCTTGCAATGCCTCATGGGATTTGTAGTGCCACTACAGCTGGAGGGCCGGAGTTTGGCTACCCCTAATCTAGGCCACGTGACTGTTACATTACCACACTGCTAGAGTATGCCCTAAACTGGTAGATACTTGAGATTCAATCCCTGTGTTGTTATTTCTACCCACAGGCTTCAGATCTGCAGATCGAGTTGAACAAGCACCCCAAAGAGAAGCCTGATATTTCGAGCTTAGTATTTGGGAAGACTTTCACTGATCACATGCTTACAATAGAATGGACCAATGAGAAGGGTTGGGCCAAGCCACATATTAAACCATTTCAGAACCTTTCCCTGCACCCTGCCACTTCTGCTCTACACTACTCTGTGGAGGTAAGTCAGTGCGCATGAAATATTTAGAGGTAAAATCCAGGTTAAATCATGTTGATTTGAGGTAGTGCCAATATACCACATTGTTGGTATACAGGGCACGTATATGTATTGTTTTACTAAAGCTTTAAAGTGATATTAAAGACAACATAGGTTTTTTTTTTAGCAATTTCGATTGTTATATAAATGACTTACAATTAATACTGCTACTTGATGTTTAGAAGTTTTTTAGATTCCTGCAGAACCAGTTTGTCCCCTGAGCACTGGTCCTGATATCCTGTTTTAGGGTGGCTCCCTTTCCTTGCAGGGTCCAATGGAGCCACCATGTGTGTGCTAGTAAGGTGTGTTTGTTTCTACAAACATACAGCCACATCAAGGCAAGACACCTGCTTCCCACCTCTTCTTCCTTCTCTCTTCTGCAAGCTAGTAGACAGTCAGCTGCTGGAGAGTGTGCCCTCCCTCGTGATCTTGTACTGGACAGGAAGGTCAGGGAAGCAGAGCTGAGAGAGTCGGAGCCAGCTGTTTGGAAACATGATGACTTTAAATGCTTGAGCTAAAATGTAAAGAAATACTTTGCTGGGCAATTTATATTTGTTTGATCTGGATTTCTTTTTGAAATAACATTTGAGTTGAATATTATTTTAATGTAATATGTATTGCAATCCAAAGAGAATAAAAGCTTGTATGGGATGTAAATTACACAACATTTTTAATGTACACTGAAGTCCAACCAAAATGGAAATTTTAGTTTTGTGTGAATTCTGATGGGTAAAGTGAAACTGTTGGGGGATCAAACAGACCTTTAGTCCCTGTTCACACCTGGGCGTTTGGAAGCTGAAAGTTAACGTGTCAAAACTCACAACAAAGGAATTCCTATTCATTTCTATGGCCCCTGTTCACACCTGAGAGTTTAGCAGCAAGCTGTAAAAACGCTGAACGATGGAAAAGGTGCGCTTCTGAGCTTCTTTCAGGCAGATCCAGCACGTTTGTGCTCCATTGATTTCAATGTAAAATGCGCCAAATACTTTTTTTTTTTCTCGCGTTTTTGCGCAAAAAGAACGCGTGTTTTTAAGGCGCATATACATTGTGGAAGACCAGCTGCTAAGCACACTGGGAAACAAAATGGCTGAAACACATGCAAAACGCGCATCTATTTAGGGGAGAAATAGACGAAAAACTGCATTAAACGCGTGGAAACGCTGACGCCTAGGTGTGAATGGAGCCTAATGTTGTACATATAAAATGCAGAAACCATCTCTGCGATTGACAAGATGTATTGCCTGGTCTTTGTGTTGCAGCTATTTGAGGGTATGAAAGCCTACAAAGGGGAAGACAATCAAGTGCGCCTTTTCCGACCAATGATGAACATGGAAAGAATGCATCAGACAGGACTGAGAGCTTGTCTGCCGGTATGTCAAACGTTCTGTTACTTCTACTGCTAATGTCCTGAATCAGCATTATTATACTGTAAATAATGTACAATGGAAAGCAATACAAGGACATGGAACAAACATGAAGAAACATCAATCATTTCCGTTCCTGCATAGACCTTCCCCATAGAAAATATCCATGCCCCCCCGAAAATCCCTCAGCAATGGAAACTGCCATCATTTGGAGGCAAGTTTAGTATTATTTCTTCTTTTTAGCTCACGATGATCTGAACCTTTTCTGTTTTACTCTTTCTATAAAATCTTTCTTTTACAAGTAAACATTGGATATTAGGGTTTTCTAAAGGAGGGTGCAGGAAGACGGGGTGGAAGTTGTAAGAAAAGATCCCTCCTCTGATCATTCAGTTGATTGTTGAGCTACTGAACTCTCCAGTTCCAGGAAATCTTTTTCTCGTACTGATGCCCTAAACTGTACTTCATATTTATAGAATAAGTCCGGGTAGACTAAAAAATAACCCTTGGTGCTACCCCCCGCACTGCAAGGGTAAAATGCTTGTTTTAGTCTAGGGTGTAAAATAAAGAAGATACACTCACCTGATCCTTGGTCCCGCCTGGCTGCTAGACCGGTCCCCACAGCCTCTTCTTTCCCGGGCTCCGGCGGTGGAATGTCCCTTGGTATCTTCACGTCTAATATAGTGTTCGATGTGATGACTCGGAGCTGTTGGGAGCGGTCTAGCAGCGAGCCGGGACTGACGTTAAGATGAATATATCTTTGGTATTTTAGACCCTAGACAAATACGAGCACTTAACCCTTGCAGTGGGGCCTACCCAGTGTTGAGCTTTATGCTGTCCGGAGTTCTTCTTTAAGGTAAGGTCTTAATAATGCTTTGTTCAAGGACAACATTATGTCTCTGTCTCTTTCTCTCTCTCAGTTTCTCCTCTTAAAGTGTATTTCTTTTCAGTCTTTTGACAAGGCTGAGCTCCTAGAGTGCATGAGAAGATTCATTGACATTGACCGAGATTGGGTCCCCAGGTCTAACTCTGCCAGCCTGTATATTCGGCCAACTTTTATTGGCACAGAGGTAAGTTTAGATCTTATTATGCAGAGCTGGTCAAGTTTCTGTTTTTTATATGGTTTCCTTACTGTGTTCTCCCTATTACATCCACTCATTTGTTTCATTGTTTGTTTGTTTTTTCCCCCTCACAGCCATCTCTGGGTGTCACAAAGTCCAATCATGCATTATTATATGTCATTGTTGGGCCAGTGGGACCGTACTTTCCCAGTGGAGGATTTAATCCAATCTCACTGTTGGCTGACCCAAAATATGTGCGTGCCTGGATGGGGGGTGTAGGAAACTATAAACTAGGCGGGTAAGTTTTTATTTGTAACATTTATTCCTTTAAGTTTATATATCTATATGAGAAATGTGGAGATAATTGGAGCAACAAGTTTTGTCAGTGGCATAGCGTATAAGGGAACATTAGATTTCCTATTCTACCATTTCATTATTAAAGTTCACCTGTACATCCAGTCTATGGACATTGAAGTCTATGTTACCCTAAATGTTTTTTTGTTTTTTTTTTTGTTTTTTTTTTATCTGTGTGCGTTTGTCTATGTATAATCTGTCTCCTAGTACTGCCTTTTTAATTCAATGCATTCACTAGAAATACCTGATTAATCCTGCCAGTCCCCTTTTTTTCCGTGATGTGAGCTGAGCACACAAAGCTCAGAAGCATCTCAAGGCTTGCTTTTAGGAAATACAAGAAGTTGCACTGACACATGGCGTGCCTGTATCATCTGTAGTCTGTAGTTTGTCCGCCTTCTGCCCAGCCCTGCCTTGCTGATTGACAGCGAAGCTCTGACTGGCAGATGCTCAGAGCTGCAGAGTTTCCCCATATGTGTGTGTGAGGTAATGAGCTGCCCCCCTGCTACCCGGAAGAGGACAGGAAAGAATGCTCTGCAGTTATTTGACCAGCTCAGAGGAAGTTGAGATAGATAGATAGATAAATAAAGAAAAGTAAACTTATTTCTGGTATGGCTGCTGTACAGTCTGAACTTCATTATCATGGGGGAAATGTATCAAGGTTGGCGCATATGGAATCTGAAGCAGTTGCCCAATCATCAGTTTATTTTAGCTAAATTGAAAATGAAAGATAGATGCTGATTGATTGCCATGTGTCTACATAGTTCATACTTGTGCGTTCACATTGCTTCAAACTATCTACTTATTCTTAACAAAAAGTAAAATTTAGCTTTAAAACAAGCCAGACTCTCTAGTCTGGTCTCAGTCAGTTTTTAACAGCTATGTGACTGTGCCAGTATTTGTATTTACAACGGCCTGAATTTTGTGCATTTCCTACATCTTTTCCAGTCTGGCTGTAACATTGTAACTTTACAGATGAGAGGCAACATTGAGGTGGCTGATCTGTGTAAGATGACGTTCAGATGCAGCCCGGAACATAAATACTGCACAGACATCAGTATTTATATGCCTGTGACCTACACCAATCAGCCATAACATTATGACCACTGGAAGGTGAAGTTAATAACATTGATTATTTTGTTACAGTGGCACCTGAAAGTGGGTGGGATATATTAAGCAGCAAGTGAAAATTTGTCCCTGAAGTTGATGTGTTGTAGAACATGGGCGTAAGGATTTGAGCGACTTTGACAAGGGCCAAATTGTGTTGGCTATAGACGGCAGAGCAATTCCAAAACTGCAGCTTGTATGGGATGTTCCCAGTCTGCAGTAGTCTACCAAAAGTGGTCCAAAGAAGGAAAACCAGTGACTTGGCGACAGGGTCATGAGCGGCCAAGGCTCATTGATGCATGTGAGGACTGAAAGCTGGCTTGTGTAGTCCAACCCAATAGAAGAGCTACTGTAGCTCAAATTTCTGAAAAACGTATTGCTTGTTCTTATAGAAAGGTGAGGTGTGCATCACAGTTTGTTGTGTACGTGGCCGCAGAGCAGTCAGGGTGCCCATGCTGACCCATGTCCACTGCCAAAAGTACATACAATGGGCACGTGAGTATCAGACCTGGACTACGAAGCAATGGAAGAAGGTGGCCTGGTGTGATGAATCACATTTTCTTTTACATCATGTGGATAGCTGGGTGTGTGTGTGTCACTTACCTGGGGAAGAGATAGCTCCAGGATGCACTATGGGAAGAAGGCAAGCCGGTGGAGGCAGTGTGATGCTTTGGTTAATGTTCTTTAGGGAATCCATGGGTCCTGCCATCTATGTGGATGTTACTTTGACACGTACCACCTACCTAAACATTGTTGAGCACCATTTCCACCACTTCTTGGAAATGGTATTCCCTGATGGCAGTGGCCTCTTTCATCAGGATACCCTGTTTCCCCGAAAATAAGACCTACCCTGAAAATAAGACCTAGTACTATTTTTGGGAATTGCTAAAATATAAGACCTACCCCGAAAATAAGACCTAGTTGTGACCATTCCCAGGGCCGGTGGTTGCATAAGGGGAACTTGAAGAGCCGCGGGAGAGAATAAGCGGTGCCAACCAAGCCGGCGCTAGAGGAAGCGAGGCGGCACCGGAGGGAGCAGAGCCGCATAAGCCGATGCCTCCTCTATAGTGCCGGCTCCTGTCACAGGCGGAATGATACCAAATGCACTCCGCCTGTGAGGAATCAATAGTTAAAGTCCTCTTCGCTCATTCTGGCCAGCGATTGGTTATCACATTGCTCTTGGAAAGGTACGGCACCCCTAATTGCCCTGATCATCATATTTTTCTACATGAATAAGTGCGGATTGCTGTACATTAAAAAAATAAACAAAAAAATAAGACCTACCCTGAAAATAAGACCTAGTGTGTTTTTTAGATCCAAACAAAAAATATATAAGACAGTGTTTTATTTTCGGGGAAACACGGTAATGCTCCCTGCAACATAGCAAAAATGGTTCAAGATTGGTTTGAGGAACACAACAACAAGTTTCAGGGGTTGACATGGCCTCCACATTCTCCAAATCTCAATCCAATGAAGCATCTGTGGGATGTGTTGGGAAAAACAAGTCCGATCTATGGAGACCCCACCTTGCAATTTACAGGATTTGAAGGATCTTCTACCGATGGCTTGGTGCTAAATACCTTCAGAGGTCTAGTGGAGTCCGGAATTTAGGGCTGTTTTGGCGGCAAAAGGGGGACCTACTCATTATTAGGTGCCTGGTTATAATGTTACGGCTGATCGGTGTATAGGCCTTGTTCACATGGGCTGCAGCTTGTGTAAGACCATTGTGTACAGCATGCTTTTGACAACCTTCAAGCAGCTTTGTTGAAGTCTTTAACCGCTTGTTGAATGTAATGGGCCAGGGACCGAAACGGGATCCAGGGGATCAGAGGGAGATCAGTACACGATCTTCCTCCCATCCCCTCTCCAGTTTCAGAATGCAGGAAGTGATGTATATTATATCATTCCGCATTCTGCTGTCACTCTCCGGCTTCAGAAGCTGGAGAGAAGCTGATGAAGCAGATCTATGCTTCATCAGCTTCTTTGGGGATCCCTAGCTAATATTAGGGGTCTTAAAAAACCCTGATGTCTCCATAAAGAGGACCTATCACATCCTCTTTGCTATCACATAGGGGGCTTCTTAGCCCCCTGTGTGATAACAATAAAGTTAAGTGGCAAAAAAATAAAGTCACGCATTCATTTTTTTTTTTTTTTTATAGTTCTTTAAAATTCTTTGCTAAGTCCCCAGCCCCACATACACGCTCACAAACATGCGTCAGGTGCCCATACGTGCGAAAATGACGATTGCGCCCATTACGCCACACATGTTACATATCGCCACAAACGTCAGAGCGCGAACAATAATTCTAGGGCCAGTGTTCACTGATGAAACTAAGCTGATGAGTGGTAAAAGCTTTTAAAGGATCGCCTATGGTCAATTTTGAGTATGGTAGATTTTTGCAATTTTCTCGGGTGCGCACGATTTTAAGGCTTATTCGGTGGGCGGCGCTCCGAGCAGGGTCATCTGGCAGTCTCCGGCCACCTAAAGAAGACACCTGACCACTGAGACGCTGACTCGAGTTTAAGCCGAGGGGGGGCACTTTTCAGCACAAAAAATGGGCTGAAAAACTAGGCTTATACTCGAGTATATACGGTAGGTGATAATAAATGTAATATAACATAATGTAAAAAAAAAAATTTCTAAAGTTTCGTTCATTTTTCCCTACTAGTAAAAAATAAAAAAACACAGTTGTGATTAAATACCACCAAACGAAAGCTCTATCTGCCCCCCAAAAATGTTATCAAATATTACAGTACAGCTTTGCATGACTGAATAAATGTCAGTCAGAGTACCGCAGCGCTGAATACTGAAAAATGGCCTGGCCAGGAAGGGGGTGTAAGTGGTTAAAGCACCCTTAGCTCTAGTTTGGGCATGTTAACCTAAGATGGGTCACCCTAAACATTCTGTTAGCAGGCTTTAGTAAGCTTTAGTACTATTTCCTACAAGCTTGTTGAAAGCCTGCTGAAGCCTGTTAGCTGCTTGTGTAAGGTGAGCACAGCCACATTAAGATTTGTGATTAACACACTGGAACTTACATTTTTTAAGTTTTCCAAATGTAGAAGCTCACTGTACATACTGCTCCTATAGGAGCTGCAGCCCATGTATACAAACTCATAGGGGAAGGATTTTAGTACTTCTGTAGAGGAAATAGAGTTTTTGTATATACAGTATTTTGTTTAGTATGCAGCGGGAATAACCGATATAGTATTTTTCTTTTCTTTTCACTCAGATAAATATTAAATACTGCATATTTACAACTTGCAGGCGGCATACTAGAACCTGCTGCTGCAAGTTTTTTGCCCAGTGTTATCCTGTAATGCTGTGAATGGCTCATGTAGGCAGTGAATCCATGAGCAGGCACTGCTGGGCTGTCTTATTAGCATTTGCCAACACCTAATTGGATGCAGCCCAAAAAAAAATATTATTTGTAATATGGAGATTTTATATTAGTACTGAACATACATCTTATAAGCGTTAAGATAAACAACAATAAAATAAAAAATACATTTTTTGAGCCTTCTTGACTTGACCGGTCGTACCCATTGAAGTTACCCATTTAGGTGAGTGATTTTACAAACTCATACGCAAGGTAAAACAAGTGGATTTTCTGAGCTGAGCCCGGCTGCAATGTGTCCTGGATAACATTAGCTGTTTACTTATTCATGTTATTTGTTGCCTATAGAAGATGTCTAGATGATTGTATACCATGCATCTATTTCCACACAGAAACTATGGTCCTACCATCTATGTACAACATGAAGCAGCCCAGTTAGGATGTCAGCAAGTGTTGTGGTTGTATGGAGATAACCATGAAGTGACTGAAGCTGGAACAATGAACTTCTTCATGTTCTGGATTAATGAACAAGGAGGTAAGTCGTGTGGATCTGTTTCATTTCCAATCATCTATCAAGTCTGTTTTATCTAATTATGAATTCAGTTTATTTATATAAATAAGGTGAAAAGATCTGCTTGTAACAGCCAATCAGGTGCTTGCTTTCTTTCTTCTTATCCATAACTCACCCACTGGTGTACTTGCTCTGACGGATTATTTTTGAATATCTTTCTTTCAATCAGCTGTAAGAAACATGGGATTATTTAATGTAGACCTTATCTAAAATGTAGGTGTATTGGGGGTAGTATCGGCATGAACCTTCCAGTCTGCCATTATGTGGAGGCCCCACAATGTTTCCTCTTCATGTGAACTAATGCTGTAGCAGCCAAGCACTGGGGTGCTGACATAGGCAGTATATATAAAAATGAACTGCGCCAATAAGCCAGGCAGCTACGAGGCACTGGAATGTACACCCACTGTGAGTGTGTATACGTGAAAAATGAATAACTGATTCTGCCGAGCTACAACAATCAGCAATACAAAAAAACAAAAGAATGTGTGACTCAAACAAATGTCAGTGAATGAATAGTTGGATAATGGATCAGATGTGAAGTCTATAAATGTTCATAACTCTGAAGACGTCCATATATAAACAGCAATAGTGATGAATATTTCTTGTTCCTACACTAAATGCACCACACCAGATATAGGGGTTCTCACCGCATTGATGGACCCCAACAAAAGGTCAAATCAGGCAATTCCCTTCTTAACCAGGGGAGTGGGCCCTGGTTGGTCAACTTTCTGAAGAGTTTGCTAATTTCAGCTAATTTATTCAAGCCAAGGCACCTAATGCGGAACTCTGCAAAATCCTCTTGTTGTGGCATACAGGTACATATGGGTTCTAACATTGCAAGCACCTTTGTAATTGTTTATATCAGACCTAAATATTGACTTTAGCTTCTCTTGAGTAATACATTGCAAAGAGTTGATGATCAAGTTGCAGTAACCCATAGCTAACCAGTCACAATTTACCTTCAGTCACTTTAATGTAGTCATGGAAGTGTAATTCCATCCTAATTTTTTATGGCTTTGACTGGAGAAGGATTAGAATCTCTGTCAGGAGTGTATTGTTGCCTGTGTCTCGGACAGGGAGATTTTCTCCCACTTCCTGTCCTACTAATCAGTATCATTGGGAAAGAGAGTGAGTGGACACGGGGTTATATTCCTTCTCCAGTGTACTAAAATAGTGGGGGGAAGGGGGGGGGGGTCCTGTTGTGTCCTTAATACAGAATTAAGGGAATTGTCACAATGACAGTAATACAAATCTGACTAATGTTCTAACCCTTCCACGTGGTATCACATTTCAGTACAAGATGATTGCTTGCTATTGATTACTGCTTATTGCCTCTGGCTTGTCATTGATGACTGCTCATTGCCTTTTGTCTGTATATATTTTTTTATATGTTAGATTCTCTAAATCCCAGACTCTTGGGGTAACCGTAACGTGGGATTTAAAGGAGAACTATGGGGTTAAGGCTTTTCCCCATAGTTCTCCTTAGGGTAACGGGAGGACACAAACTAGCATCCTCCCGTCAGCCTAGGCTCAGTATACCGCAAGCTGTTGCTCGCGGTATCCTGAGACGCCGCAGCTGAAGCAGATCCCGACAATTCGCTCACCTCCCAATCTACTGAGCCGACCTGTGACAGTCTCATTGTCACAGGTCGGCTAGAACTATGAGGTGAGTGAAAAGCACTCACCTCATAGTTCTCCTTTAACCATTATCTACTCCTCCATGAGGGAGGTTTTGCATGGCCTAGATAAGTCAAGCATTGCATCAGTTTTACTATTGCTTTAGATAGATGAGCTATGTGAGGGTAACAGGCAAGCGGTAATGACTGTCTTCTTCATTGCCAGTTTATGGCCATCCTAAATTGTAATTATATCCAATTGATGTAAGTGCTTATTCATATCAGTGTGTCATGTGTGTTCATGCAGAGAAAGAGCTCATCTCCCCTCCATTAAGTGGTTTAATTCTCCCTGGGGTAACAAGACAGAGTTTGCTGGATCTGGCACGGCAGTGGGTAAGTGTTAGATAAACTGTGTCACTGGCTGTTTGCCCGATTTTGTTTCTTGTATAGCTATATAAGCATTAGCGGTCTTGGCATGACATTTGTGGGGGGCTTTTAGTGCAGGATATGGGATAGGCACCTTAAAGTGAACCTGTACTGTGCACATGAGGGCAAAGCAACAGGTTCACTTCACTGCTGCTCCCCTTAGCTGCCTATAATTACTTTGCCTTTATTCATGTGTACATTCCAATTTGCTCTGGTCTGAGACTACCTGTCGCCACATAACATCGCAGGTTGCTAGCAAACGGTCACTCGTGCACCCAGCAGTACATTGTGAGAAGACAAGTGATTTGCAAACTCTCCAAAACCAGAAGTACTAGTTTATTAACTTCACTCTTGGTGGCCGAACAGAGTGCAGAGGAAGCAAAAAAAGTAGGTGTTGGCAACTGGGGTAGGGGGGCAGCAGTTTAGTGAACCTGTTGCTGTGGTCTGCATGGTTCAGGAAATTTTAGCAGCTCCTACAGTTCTGGGAGTACACTTCAAGCCAAGAAGTTCATTAAGAGGAAGGGTGATCAGGCACACACTTCTTTATGTTACTAGCAAAAGTCTCAATTTATTCCCTCTTAAAATCCACATATACAATATGAGATAGATAGATAGATAGATAGTCAGATCACCTCCCTATATGAGATAGGAAGGCATGGGAGAAAATGTCTGTGACTGTTTCACATTGGCTCTATCCTATGGATGTTGTGAGTTCATACCTTTTTATCATGGAAGCTTATATTTAAAGGATAACTGAAATTGTATTATTCTCCAAGTGTTAACTCCACCCACAAATGTTTATATTTGCCCGACTCCTGATAGTCACACAGCCTCTTCACTGGCTGGGCTCTGCTTCTTCCTTGCATGTGTGCCTCTATCTCTATGTATTTCTTTGGAAAGGCCATCTACCATCTTTCATAAAGCAGAGCCCTATCTGGGAGACTGGAGTTGAAGAGGCTGTGCAAATCCGAGCAGGGGCAAGTAGTAGAAAGACTCGAAGGGGTGGGGGAGGTGATAGAGGGGGCATTTAGAAGTTATCTTTACTGAAGGTAATGCTATCCTAAAAAAAAAAAAAATAAATCTTTAATAGAGGGGGATGAGAAACCGTGACCAAAATCTCCCAGTAAAGTTAGCTGACACTTTTTCCTCCTTTCAGATGGAAGAACAGTTAATATACAGTCCAGTAAAGGATGATGAAAAGCTGCAAACTAATCCCTCCACTATTTTATTCTGAAGTTGAGCTGATTTTTGTAGTATCCTGCTTGAATTGTGTACATAATGCTTACCAGAGTGCTTCTTTAAAATCAAATTTTTTGATGTTTTTGCAGGGAGAATTCAAAGTGTCAGAAAGAACAATTACCATGGGTGATCTGGTTAAAGGGCTTCAGGAAAACAGGATAAAAGAGGTCTTTGGAGCAGGAACAGCCTGTGTTGTATGCCCAGTAAGCCGGATACTCTACAACGAAAAGGTGAGTGCCGTGTCACAAGTCAGTCAGTTAATCTGTCAGACATTCATATAGATATTAAATTGTCTGAGCAGATCAAGTGATGATATTTACATGTGTTGGCATTTTGAGAAAGCCCTAGGTTATTATTATTTCTCAGAAGAGGGACTGTTCTCGTATACACCAACTGCAGGCTTCTAGTTGTTTCTCACATTTACACAGCCTATTAAACTTTAAGAATTTTCAATATAGACACTGATCAAAATCATGGCAGCCTTGCAAATTTGAAAATGTGAGCATGTTACACAGCACAGGCTGTTTGATTTGTGCCTACAGTGGATTTTCTTTTACCATGACCATGCAAGAAAATGTCAGGTATCAGACTCCACTGACACTTGTGTTTTGAAAAATCAAAATAAAGAGGCAAAAATACTGAGGTCAAAAGCAGGCCATTGTAACTTAAAAATACAAAAAAAACCTTGAGTTCTGAAGAAAATGTCGCTGTGTGCAGTATTATCTGTATTATTAAATCATAGATCCACTTAAAGGGTATGTCCAAGAAAAATGGAAAGCCCCTGATAAATTATTACATGGAGTGGTTGCCACTGGTCATCCTTATTATTAGCTTTAGGAACCGTACATAGCAAACTGAGGTCCAACAACTGAATTACATGTGCAGTATTCAAACTCCCCAGCAGATGGTACAAGTGAAATGGTTAGTTACAGCTATACTGAGGAAACACAGCAGCTATGAAAGGTGAGCCCTCAAATAGTAATTTTAGTCCAAAGAACAGGATTCTGTTCTTTGGACTAAAATTACTATTTGAGGTTTTTTTTTTGTTTTTTACAGTGCTTGTGCTCTAAAGCAATTTCAAGGCACCCTATCTTCAATATGAACCTTATACCACAGGGGGATCTTTATTTTTGCTAGCATTTGTTATTGTGCAGGAAGGGAGGATTATCTCTTCAATAGGCACACACTAAATACACTTTTATTAGTGAAATGAAGAAATGTATAGCTTCTGTCTGGGTTTTTGTTGTGTCATTGGGACAGGACTAGTGGAAAATCACCCCAGTGGTAACCGAGAGCAAGAAAATCTGAAAAAGGTTCTAAAACGTCCCCACTGTAACCACTGTATGATTGCAGTTCCTCTTTACTCCTCTTTTTACTTCTAAAGGTTTTGATGTATTCTAAAAGGGATCTATTAATGTGGACCTAAACACAATAGGAAAGGTGGGTAGATTTAGAATCAACATAAACAAAGATGGCACAGAGCTCCTGTTACCTGATGCCATGGCAGGCATGCCCCTGAGTGCTGCCATCAGTCCTCGTAGCAAGAGAACAAAGACTTATATTGGCAGCTACAATGCAGATTGCACAATGCTTTTGAAGATGTAATATGGAACTGAAGTGCCAAAGGCTTTCCTTGTTGCAGCAGGCAGGTGAATTTGTGTTTAATCTGTATCCCCTACCAATGCTTTCCCACCCTGCCTAATGCCTGCAAGCTGAACTTTGACCTAAGGTTTACTTTAAACCCTGCCTCTGGTAGATGCACCATTCAAAATACATGTTTCCATGGCCCTTCAAAGGAGTTCAGGTAGTGGAAGAGTTTGTTACACTTCTCTCTTTCAGTCTAATCTTCTAGCACAACCATAGTAAGAGACAAACAGAATAAAGGTACATAAAACTAGACTATAATCTTATAGCGGGGGTAGCCAAACTTGGTCCTCCAGCTGTTTTAGAACTGTAAGTCCCATAAGGCACTGCAAGACACTGGACTTCCAGAGATGCCCCATGATGTAGTTTTATCACAACTGGAGGGCCGAAGTATTGCTACCTCATCATATAGCAATCCTGTCACTAGAGTAAATATGTGAGGCCAAGGCATACATATAAAAAGGCTGTAAATACTTCCTATACCTGTTGCCTGCTCTGCTGAGCTTCAGTCCCATACAATCCTGAGAAATCTTCTGCTGAAGTCTGAAGGGGAATCGACACTTCTGGTAGTATCAATCTCCTGGGTTCCTCTCTCTGACCTCCACCACTTAAGGTTCCTCTCTTTAACCTCCACCACTTAGGATTTCTCAGGATCACAGTGGAGTTCAGCGGCACAGGTAGCAGGAAAGATAAGTATTTACAGACTTCTTTTACAGTGTGCCTTGGCTTAAAATATTTGCTATAGTGATGCGTTCGCTGTAAATGTAACCCTTCTAAAATACCCCAAACCTTTCATTACTGATGGAACCATATACAGTGTCTAAGTACAGTCTAATATTACATGGATATGGGTGTTCTTTGCAGCTTCACATACATTTAAACTGCGTGTCAAGAAGTCAATGTTCTGCATTTTACTCTTGAGTGATAATTTGGGTACCTGTTGTTGTTTTTGTCTCTTTTAGAGTTACCACATACCTACCATGGAAAACGGACCTGAAATAGCAAAACGTTTCTTAATGGAGCTCACAGACATTCAGGTATGAAAACTGTACTGTCCATCCCAGGGATTCCAATGAGGCTTAGCAATAGTCCTAGTTTTAGCTCTTTCTTGTTTTTTATGTACCCCTTAATGTTCAGCACGGCAACATATTCGCATATGACTCGAACAAACCTGACTGGTTCTTTATAGGCTTCAGCGAAACATGACATTGTTCTCAATATTTGGGATTCAGTTCTGAGTCTGGGATTTCAGTTTATATGTTTCTGTATATCTAAGATGTCTTTATAAATCTATTATAGACTGAGGCAACCATGCCTTATGTTGGTGCAAGGCAAGCATTTTTATTTTCAAACCAGAAATCTGTGTACTGCCCAAAGTCTTCCCAGTTATCACTAGTCAAGCTACTGTTTGTTAATGATAATTATAAAGTGTAGGAGGTTAAAAAAAACAAATGATATTGCCAAAACCTTGGAGCATCAATTCGATTTTCAGCTAGCTGACTCCACATTTGAAATTCCCTGGAACCAGTTAAAGTCCAACCCCAGCTTCTGGGACAGAAAGTGAGGAGACATTTGTTTTAATGAGCAGTAAATTCTAACAATAAATTCTGTTCAACCCTTTCCCAACCTGTCCAAAAAAAAAACGTTTTTGGATACAGTCCTAATTTAAAGTACTGTATTTGTGAAGTCAGTCAATGAAAAAGATAATATATCTTATATTTAGTTTTTATTCTGCAGTCATGTGACTGCATGGCCTCCTTTCCTGTCCCTCTTCCTAAGAGTTGGGGCAGGTAGAGGGTGGGCAGCCGAATGATGTCACTTTAACACTGAATTACTTTAACGCCGTAAGTAAATTACACTTAAATCAAAGCAATACTGACTAGAGCTGCAGCTAATGATTATTTTCAAAATCGATTAGTTAGCCGATTATTGAGTTCGATTAATCGTCATCCCCCCACGCCTGCTCCTCCTCCTTACTTGTTCTCCCCGTGTCCCTGTGCCGATCGTGGATGTGGGAGGGCGGTAAGCGTGAGGCGGGGAAGAGGTGTGGCGTGTGGAGTGTGGGTTCTGGCGGGGATGTGGGAGGGAGGAGGTACGGCGCACAGCGCGTGTGGAGCCGTGAACAGGGCCAACTAACCAGAAGCCGATTAATCGATGATTGAAAAAGTTGACAACTTTTTCAATAATCGATTATAATCGATTATGTTGATTAGTTGTTGCAGCCCTAATACTGACCCGCCTTTCTATTAGTTCTTCTACTGAATACAGGCAATTATAGCTAGGGTTTTGATAGTAAAGTTTCTGTTACAAGCTGCTGTCAATTAGTGATGTGCGGGGGCTTGGTGTGAACCCAGTTTACCAGAGTTCGCCCAAGCCTACGCAAAACTATGACTGACACACTCCCATCCCAGCCCAATCAGTTGCGGCCACTGCATTCCCCTTCCCGCAGCTACACCTCAGACACATGGGAATGCCCCTGCCGCAACAGTTTGGCCCGGGAAGGAGGGTGTGTCAGTCAGTTTTGTGCAGCTTGGGTGAACTGGCAGCAAAACTGACTTTGGGTCACAGACATGTCACACATCACCAAGGCATTTTGTAGCTCTGATCAGCAATCCCTGGGATGCACCCTGACCATGCCATCATGGATCTGCTTTCATGCTTGGCATGGTCAGAATGTAACCGGGAAACTGGCAGAATCACAAGATATTTTTTAATACATGAATGAGTAGTGGAAGAAAAGGCAACACATACAAGAGAGTTTATTACTACAGTAATGCATACATTCAGTATCAGTTTTAGGACTAACATACACTTTAAATGTAAACTTCAGGAAAACAGCAAAATGCATTCAAAAGCATACAGAATACATTGCCAACATCAGGGGAAAATAATTCACTGCCATCTACGTATTTTTAGGAAAAGGCATTTAGCTGTGTCGGATAATATAAGCTAATAGTGTGTCTGGCAGCAGTGGAGGTTCTGTACCTATGTGTACTTCCAGTTCAGTAGGCAGGAATATGCACGCACAGAAATTCCAAGTCTTTACATGCATTCATGAAAAGAAAACTCCCTTTTGTCACTTGGATATTTAGGCAGTGGGCAGGAATGTCATTTTACACATCTGCTTGAATCCTTTTGAACATTTCCATATCTTTCTCTTTACAGTATGGCCGAACTCTCAGTGAATGGGCATATATTGTGTGAATGTACTCGGGTCAGGATTTCCATTCCAAAGAATCACAATCAACACTCTATTGGATTTTATTTATAAGCGTTTTTACTTTAGAAGAAGCGCGTTCTTAGGACTCGCCATACAAACGTGAAACAAGAGTGTCTACCTCCAACACTGCGACAGATTCTTTCAGTAATTTTTTATAATTCTCAAAGGACAGATTTTAATGTATTTAAATGGATAATGTGATTATGATCTTAGATAGGTTAGAAATGCAGTAGAGCTGTAGATTAATGGAGACTGTGAATGTAGTTCTGGCATTGTCTTCTGTAATTCTGTAGATCATTTATGTGCATGAACGGTGCTACAGAAACTCACAACAGATCTTCCAGCCGCTGCTGTTATGCACAAGACTTTATGTCTTCACAGCAATATGAAACAAAACCGAGATTACTCTCAATGACACTCCGCTATTAAACTGTGTAAGTCACTTGATTTTGTGTCCAGTGCCATCCTTGCCCACCATTCTGTGTCAGCTGTGGATTGTTGAAGGGATAACTACAATGTCTCTGATGAACAGTAGAGGGAGCTATTGGTTAGATTATATTCTGCACCTCTACTGATTTCAGTTAATGGAGACATACGGATGACATTTTATAAACTACCTAGGCTCTGGTAACATTATGTGGCCTTCCCACTGCCTCCTGGGAAAGCTAAGGATCCCAAATCTTGTCAGAGTGCACTCATTTCTGATCATTTATAGTTACTATTGTACCCCTTGAAATATGTAATAAATGCCAAGTGTATCTTATGATAATGTCCATTTTACTAGTCTGTACTTACAGTTTTGTTTATCATACAGATCTAAAGCTGACACCACACAAGAAGAATTAACTTTCATTCTTACCAAACAATGTCAGCTCCCTTCCTTAGTGCACCCATTTGTTACCCTCAACAAAACCTAACCTCGGGGCTGCAGTAGAATAATTATTAATAATACAACTTATTGACTACAGTTTTCTAGCTGATAAGTTATACTTCATTTTTTTTCAGATTTTCTGATATTTTTTTACAGATTATTTTTCAGATATATATTTAAAGAAATGTTTTATGTCCCCTAGGACATAAAGTTGTTGTTTTTTTTTCATTAAATAGGTGTTGCCCTCAGTAGACTAAATGGCTCAGAACAGATTTAAAAGATATAATTGAATTCAGCTTTGTATTTATTAATACATACATATGCATTTTTAAGTAAGTACCTGAATTTGGCTTGGTATCTGCCTCTCTTTAGGTCCCTCTACAGCAGAGCTACGACTGGGGAGGAAGGGGCAGGACAAGAAGCCAATTAAGAAGCCAATTAGCCTGTGATTGCACAGTGAAGGAGCAATAGTAAAGTAATAATCTTATCCCTGTGCTCCCTCTTAAGCTTGCCATACATATTCTCCATGAACTGGCCAAGATTTGCTCCATGCCTGGCCCTGTCGGCAGCCTCCCGCCATATTAAACAAGGCTAAGATGTCCCTTCCAGGAATGTACAAAAAGAAAAATATGAACAATTGTCTGGACTTCTGATATCTTTTTTTAAACATTGTCAATTTTTGCTTAAAAGAAACTTGAAAAGAAATATGGGAGCTTCAGTTTCTCATTGAACTTGGAGATATTACTTTCCCCATCCCTAACTGAGTATTGTAGTGTCTCTGGGAATATCCCTTCTACCTGTCTCTTTTCTTTACCTGCAAATAACCCAGCACGGGTGTCCCTGGAAATGACCCTGTGCCTACATCCTTGTCTTATCAGCATGGTGTACCTGATCATTTCCATGTGTCTGACTCAGCAGTGTTGTGTCCTTGGACTGATAACTCTCCCTTTTACTGTTTTAGCAATGTGTCTATCAATACTTCTCTCTCACCCCATCCTCTGTTCAGTGTCCCTGGAATACCCCCTTAATTCCACTCAGCTAGCCTAGGGTAAGACTCTTCTGGATATCTGGTTTCAGCTAATTAGCAGACTGTACAATAAATTTGAACAGTGCAAAGTCTACCCATAACCCCAAAAATCTCCTTTGTATGTGAATTTATTAATGGGGATCTGATACACTAATGCATTGTACAAAGCAACAAAGCCTTGAATGAACCTTAAATGTTTCTTGTTGAGACTGTCATATCATTTGAGGCAGGAAATCCTACTTATAGTGTTCTGGCTGGCTCTCATATCAGAAAAAACTAATTCATTGACCAGAGCCACACCATAAGAAAAGCTGTGACATTTGAGGCCATGCTCCTTCTCCCATGATGGATAGATATGGTTGTGGGATTGTAAATGGCTGGAGAAACATGAGTAAGATGCAATTCCCAAATAAAATATTACATAAATATAATAGAAGACAGAAAACAGGGATCTGATGCACTCACAAACATCCTTTATTCACACGGAGACAGACAAAAATTCCCGTAATACTATCAGCAAATAGATCTTTTATTAAAAAAAACACACAAACTCTGAGTTCCCCAACATTCACACAGCAATTCCCCTAGGCAAAATCTAGATTTTACTTCTCAACAAGATATAGGGGTGTATTTATAAAAAAAATTGCAGATCCATTCCATTTTAGTCATTCATAAGATGAGCTTGAATCAGGAAAATTACTGCATTATGGACACCGGATGGAGCAGAGGATCATAGGAAATAAGTACTTATTTCTTATGGTGATCTGCTCCATCTAGTGGCCATAATGGTCCCCAGCACACTTTCAGGCTTACCTGCAACAAAAGCAAATTAATCTGTGTAATTGCTCGGATTAAAAACAGGGGTTTGAGGCTGGCCATACACTGCTCTATTTTTCTCATTTAACCTGCGGGCTGAACAGGAAAAATAGAGCACATTCCTCCATCCACACTTAGGAATGTGTCGATCGAGGAATCGCCCTGTTTGCATTGTATTCTGACAGTGGCTGCTGGCCACTGTCAGAATACCTAAGCAGAGCCGGCGGTTCATTCGCTGTCGGCTCTGATTGTATGAAGATTTTCCGGCCAGCTTCTTCGATCAGCCGATCGAGGGGTGCCGACAGTGGCACACTGCGCATTTTGGCTGGTTTTTGAGGCACGGGCGCGGGAATTGTAAATCTATATGATCTTTTTTAATGACACCTACAAATCCCAAATGCCTTTGAAATAATTGTTACATACATATGCAAATAAATTGGGAAGCCACACTTCTGCATCAAGGCACTTCTGAGAAGTGTGGTCCCTGACTAAACTATCTGAGTTTCCCAACTGTGAGACATACAGTATATATGAATGCACAACCAGAGAGCAGGCAGCTCTGTCCTCCTAAAAAGTACAGCCACACACCAGTATCCCAGTTTATCTTAACAAGCCACACTGCTACATCAAGGCACATCTGATAAGTGTGGTCCCTAATTCCATAACAGAGGTGAATCAGTGATCTACAAGTACACCCAAATCCACCTCCATCACTGATTCACCCAATCTTCCTCTTCCATAGATTGTGTGTTGCATGCATGTTTGTAGTCCGCAAACAGAGTTGGGAGTGCTCCATGTTTGCCATGAGCAGCTCCTGAGTGGTTCTGATTCTTAGTTTCAGGCTGGCTCCATTGCCTAAACAAAGCATCAGTTGTGGCTCCAGCTGGATCTTCAGAAGTGCTGCAGATGCTTAGTCCTAAAATGTTTCTGATCATCTATGCAAATCTACCTATTTAGCTTTTGGAGTTCTCCTGCTTCATCCTTTCATAATGTCAATGAGATTTTTGTATAGTCTGACAAGTAAGCACAGGAAGGCACATTTGTAAATTGTGTGTTAATTTCTGCACATTTTTTGATGCAAATTACCATGGAAATCTAGCATGGTTTTGCAGATCTAAGTGCGAGTGGAGCTATCTGACAGTGAAACAAACAGGTGAATGCGCATGGAGGGAGGAATCTCTGCGGTATATCTTTATTAGATCGATTTTAATCTGTAATTCTGTAAGTAGAATCAATATTAAAGATGCAATTTATTTTATACGGCCTGCTCTATGGTGTTTGTATGCTCCTTTTTCTTGATCTGGCTTTTGGGAATATCTTGGACGTAACGGGAGAAAGATTGTTTGCAGCTATTTCTCTAAGATTATACTCAAGGAGTCCCTCCCGCTGTTAAAAGGGATGTGCATATTGAAGACCTGAGTGATAGGTCTTATTGAAAGGTGAGCCTTCTACCATACGGGCTGGGAGCATAATACACCAAGGGAGGTGGAAGAACCACGGGTGTGCTTTTTGCTGTGACACACTGGATCACTGTGCTTATATGTTTGTTGACTTCACTATTTATCTGGAGAACTTTTTGGGATGTCCACTTAATTACAAATATTGTTTATATTTAATTTATCACTTACAAAGTTTTTCCATTATCATATATTATTGTTTATATTGTTTTCCCATTTTGGGGAATGTGTTAAATTAGCCACTTTGTTATTGTAAACCAGTGTCAGTCCTGTCAGTCATGGAGTATCACTGACAGAAGCAGCTGTAGAATGGTAATTGCGGCTCCAAGCACAGCTCCAATCTAACTTCAGTTCCAGCCCTGCTCCAGCTATCAAAGTTATCTAAAACAAACTATGGGTTCCTCTTCAGTTCCTGGCCATGGAGTCAGTTCCAGTGTCCGGAGGCAAAACCTTGCCAACTCTACCCCAAACTTTTTTTAGGTTTGCATACAGTGGCACCATTACGGAGATTCAATCACTCTATTATAACTAAAAGGAAAAATGTTGGGGTGTCACCAGAACAGGAATAGATGGAAATCTTCCAATGATGACACCAGTTCTGGTGACCCTGTTGGCCACCAGGGATTTCCCTCGCTTTTGAAAGATTTCCTCTCACTTCCTGTTTTTGCTATCAGATAGGAAGTCAAGGGAAATCTTCCCCATGGGATACAGATGGCCCAAAAAATAGGGGTTATAACCCTCCCTGACAAAGTTATGGCTTCAGTTCTACTCTTAATAAAGGTCAAATACATTAACTCCACAGCCTTCATTCAACTTTCTGCTTATTTTACTATAAAATATTTTTTTTCCCCACAATATCTGTCTTATAAATCAGTATATACTTTATTAATTGTAGAATAGTTTTCTATAACATACTCGTAAATGTAGTCACTTACCAGTCCCTTATTATTCTTCATACAGAAGAAGTCCTACTAACTATTTTTTTAGTTACAG